CCCAATAAAAACTTCTGTCTACTGGATAACCGAACCCGTGTCTGTCGTTTTCTGACAGTGCCAACTGCCTGCATTACACACGGCTCCCAACAATCAAACCCACTTGGTTACCCTAAGCAGCAGGGGAAGATCTCTTCTGTTTCCTCCCTTCACATATTCCCTGTGCAAATGAGGGGCCATTCCTTCTGGTTGGATACTAAGGCACCCTGTGGAAGCTGGCAGTGTGCAGAGGTGTGTGCAAACTCTGCAGAGAACCCTACTTTCTCAGAGAGCCTAGCTCAAGGAAGCAACATTTGTGGGGAAGGAAGCTTAGCTCTATTTGCCCAAGAAAATAGCCTGAAGGTTATCATAGTACCATGCCTTTATGAGGAGAACAGATCCTGCTGGAACATCAGAAAAAGGCCTTCTGACTAAGTGGAAGCCCACTCATTTATTCTCAGATTATATACTGTTGTAGCCCAGTGAATCTTAAAGCAACAATCCCCAGCCTGGATGGAATTTGGGGGCACTGCAGATGTTCCCATTAATTTCATTCTTTCCACAATATTGTTTTCTCCTCAGGATAATGGCAAAGCAAGGCCAATATAACCTTGCCACCTATTATTACCACCTGCTGAAAAAACTCTGTACAACAGTTAGAGTCCTGCAAAAGCATCCAAGAGATGCAAAACAGCTTTCCTAATTGCTCTGTCACTAAGTACCCTGGATATCCAATTGCTCTGTCACTAAGAACTTGAACACCAAAATCAGTCTCTGCAACAAATGACCTTTGCTGTTAGTATAACACAAATAATCCAAGGGTCATGATCAATTGCTTCTTCTAATGTATGAATGTCACATAGTCCCATTATATCCTTCACAATTCTGAAGAAATTCCTCCTTAAGGCAGTGCCCAACAGTACTAGAGTCTGACTGGCTTGGTTTATACAGTTTAGATCCTGAAAATCAGGACAAAAGGAATAAATGTTCCTTCCAACACCATCTCTATCATTCATTTATAATCTCCCTTTTAAACATGCATTTCATCTCCAAATGAGATAATAGCAAAGGAGGATCCACATCAGCATTACTCTTCAGCCTGCATGATCTACTTTTTATTCCTCAAAATACCCACATGAACTCTGATCCAGGAGAAGTGAACAGAAAAATTCAGTTTTCTGCAATGCTGTGTTTAGAAACCAAATCTGATTCACCAGATCCTTCTTGCATCCTACTCCTACTCCACAATATTCATTCAAGTCTCACCCTAATAGCCCATCTCTATAGTTTTTAGCCCGTTGATCCATTATCTGTGCTACATTTCCCGCTGCTAATTTTCAGTGAAGTAAACTAAAATTTAGATTAGTGGCTTTAAGACTAGATATCATGGGAAAGAATAAATACTGAGATATTTGTTCGTGGAGAGAAAAAAATCTAATGTAGTGTAAGGAAACTAGATGGTTTTCTTCTGTATTTGCCTGTTGTCTGCTTTCACTGATTCCCCTGGGTTTTGCCCACATGCTAGTGCCCACTCTCCATATTCCACATGGCCCGTGTGCGCTCTTGGCCCCAAAAATTGCGTACCAATGCTCGAGTCCCTTCGTCTAGGACTGCAAGGTCTCTTCATCCTAGAACAGAGTACAGCCGCGGAAGGCCATTTGCAAGGCGAAGTTTCGAGTCAGCTGGCTCACTTCCCCTTTGGTTTGGCCACTTACCGCATAACTGAAAGCGCCAATTAGCTACTTAGCGCTTTGGCGCTCAACACAGACAGAGCGCGCGACGGCGATTCCCCGGCTCCAGGGCCTGAGAGCGGGAAACCCAAGTCGAAAACGGATTGTTTAGACTGAGCTCCCGCCGGGGACAGAAAGAGAAAGGCGATTGGTGGACGGGAAGATGGGCGTGGCTCCGCTGGAGGAGGTGGGCGGATTAGCTCAGGCGCGAAGTGCGGGGATTGGCGGTGGTGCAACTGGGACGTTAAGCCGGGGGCGCGCGGAGCGGGCTTTGGGAGAAGAAACCGAAGGGGGCGGGACAGAGCGCAGAGAAGCCAGCCTGTGATGGCGCGAGTGTCGGTCTTGGGAGTTTCGCTGCTGGAGAACCCGAGCCCTTTCGACCACCCGCTCCGCTTCCAGGTGCAGTTCGAGTGCGGAGAGGCGCTGCCCCACGGTGAGTGCCAGGCGTCGGCCTGACCGTTATGCGAAGTCTCCCTCCAGCGGGCCGCGCTCCCAGGAGCAGAGCTGCGAGGAGATGCGTTACGGCGGGAAGATTTGGTCCTATGACTGAGACTTTCGGCCAAAAGAATTACTAAATGACCTTGGCTGCTCGCACTCCGTAGCAGTCCGGCCTCCTTCACAAGGTGGCTTTGAGCTATTCAGCTATTGAGGAAGAAGTAGGTTTAAATAAAATTGAATACCTACTGTCTGGGGGAGAGATTAATTGTTGGAATCGCGATTGCAGCCTATCTGTTGACTTTACCACAATTCCTTCACAAAAATAATTTTAAATGTCCCTGCCTTCAAGATTTAATAGCCCGTTCTTCATACCTGTAGCAAAACATACGTCCTCTGATTTGGTAGAGGGAGAGTGTTGGCCTGGTGGGACTCATAATAGACATGCGTGGCTGGGATGTTCACGAAAAGATTACAGTATTGACATGGCAAGCAAGGATGGCATTTCTGGCTTTAGAACGTGTGTGTGTGTGTGTGTGTGTGTGTGTGTGTGTTGAAGGTGGGCGGGCTTTCAGAGTACTGTAACAATCATGAATTCCTTCTTATTTCAGTTGGATCTTGCTTGGGGCTGATTACAATGCAAAAAGCTTGCAGATCATTTTAGCAGACAAATAATATTCTATTTCCTGTTGGACTAATTTACAGAGCTTACAAAAGCTTTTGCTATCAGCTCATTAAAAGCTTTGTGCTCTGTTCTATGATTGACAACAGTAGCATTGGTCTTAGTCCTTGCATGCAAGGCAAAAACCATACTTGATACTTTAAATTGTCAAATAAATGCATCTGTGCATCACACTCTGGGATAAGTTGATTTCACTACTATTTACCATTTATTACTTCTTCTTTTACTCCTTCTGTCTTAGATGTATATGCACTTCTTACAGGGCCAGCCTTGATTTACTTAGCTTCAAGTGGAAAATGAGCTAACAAATCAATTTCTGTACATAGAACAAACTGCTAGTGCTTTTCTTAGTAACATCAAGATGATTCTCTGTCCCACAATCTTAAAATCTAAATTTACAATCTGTTACAGGAGACATAATCAGGAAAGAGACTTATATGTACAGTTTCTCATATGGGGCATAACTGTCTCTTCTTCCAATTTGTTTCTAGTTCTGTATCTCGGACTGAGAAATTTAAATTTGATCCTCTGATTTCTACTTCCTACTGATTATTTCATATGATTTTCATTTTATGCTATGATTCAGAGTGATCTTGAGAGAAAATTACTTTCTCAACTTCATCAAGATATACAAGTCATTCTCTAATTTTATACTACTGATTTTCTCACATACAAATGCAAAGCAAGAATTTATTCAAATATAGCCCTCTTTGGAAGAAGCAATTAGGAGTCAGTCTTTTGCTATAGAGTGACTTATCAAGCATATGGCATTCCCCTTATGAATAAGCCTAGGAAGTAGCATAGAAAAAGGGTCTATCAGGAAAATGATCATATTCCTTGTTTTGCATTGCTCATACTGTTTTGATATGATTCTATTACACATAATAACCATAAAATTAATACTGTGTAGTTCAACATTTGGGGAAGCATGCCTGTCATTAATATAAGTGATTTTCTAGACCTAGGCTACAGCTGCAAAATGTATGGTTGAAAGCATGTGGGCAATATCTAGAAAAATCTTAGAATCTGGGACAATAAGTTCAGCTGAACACAGCAGAGCCCAGCAGTATTTATTTCCCACATTTTGTTCTGGCCACTACTCAAAGTAGCTGATACAAATTAAACATATTTTAAAATTAAAATATAAATAGGCCTCACTCTCTGCTTAATCTGAACTGTTCTACCAGTTCCTTCATTTGTACACCAGCTGATATCCCATCAGCTTAGTTATCCATAGCTGCCTAGTAAACCAAGGGGATCTGTCTTTGTCTCCATGAGAGGGTGCCAAGGAGCTGTACTGTTAAACATCCAGGGTATCTTTTTATTCCATATATTACCCAACAGTATCTCCACAGATAAGGTGAAAAGTTCTAGGTGCATTTAGAAACCCATCTAAATCAGAGGTAGAATGTGTCTTCTATAGTTGAGAATTGGTTTTGGTGAAAACTGGAGTAACAGACTAGAGTAGGGAGTGAACACTTTCCAATCCAGAGCTGCATGGAGCCCTTGAAAACATTTTTGTAATTTCTGAAGCTGCCTCCAATGATTCCACCAGATTTTGGTGACGCAGTGGGTAAAAACTGATGGTGTGTTTTACCATCATTTTGAGTTTAAAAGACATGGAAAAATTCTGGATATAGATTCTTGTAATTAGACTTCCAGTACTATATGAATCAATCACCATAGCTGCATCAACAGTCTGTCTTAGAAGATTATGCATAGTAGTTCCTGATTTTCACTGTTGTGAGCTGCCCACAGTCACTTAAGTGAGATGGGCGGCCATACAAATGGAATATATAAGTAAAGATTTTATCTAATAAGATAAACATTAAGTCAGAAGACAAGGAAATACATTCAGTGGACTTTTCTTAGATATTCTTCAACCTTAGTGAGAACCTGGCTTCTCTGCATTTACAATTTGAGTAATTTATATTTATTTTTTATTTATATATCGAATTTGTCACCACCCATCTCATTAAAAAGCAACTGGGCGGTTTACAGAAAAGATAAATATTAATTAAAAATACAACATAACAGTAGTCCTAAATAAATAATAAGTATATTCCAAGGATTGATGGTAACTAGAGAGTATTAGGCTCGGGGAGAGTCAACAGGGCGCCAGCCACTCCCAGGGTTGGTTAAAACTCTTCTTGCCCCACGCAAGCTGGCAGAGCCAGGTCTTTAGTTCTTTCCGGAAAGCTGGGGGGGTAGTTTCTTTATTCAATTTATATGGCTGCCCACTCATCAGCTGTATATGGCTGGCTCTGAGTCAGGTGGTCTGAGTACATCTGCTTGTATTCCTTGGATGCCCCTTTGGAACTGCCAAAAATCTCAACCTATTGCAGCCTTCGGCCTCTTAAAAATGTTAACCGCAGTCCTCAGTCATTATAAAAGTTAGCCACTTGATATAAGTTCATCGATATACTTTATTTTAAAAAGAAAATGTATGAAACAGCTCTAAGAATTAGAGGAATGAGTCTTGGTGGTATGAAGCATGCTGAATAATTATGGTTGTATAAACTTGCTTGCCAACAATTTTCTCTAGGTCAGACTCCAAAGAAAACAGCTGTACTGTGCTTAGCATATATTACATCTCATCCAAAGTTCTTGCATTTGTTAAGGTATTTTACACTTAAATTGAGAAGTTATTCTAAAATGTTTTGGAGACATAACTGAAAATGATAGTTGAATTATAGTTGTTTTAGCTTCCTTAGTCAATAAAAGCTGCTTCAGTCTTGTTCTTGCCCAGATGTATAATATCTCCAAATGCATTAATTCAGTGATTTGTCTCAATATTTTTGCTTTGCAAAGTTGGAGAACTATTTTCCTCAGTGTTTTAAGATTGTAGTGCTTACACTCTTGTAATTGTATCCCTGTTGTTTTTATCTTTCAGATTTGGAATGGAAGATTATCTATGTGGGATCTGCAGAGAGTGAAGAATATGATCAGATTCTTGATTCTGTACTGGTAGGACCTGTTCCAGCTGGGAGACATATGTTTGTGTTTGAAGTAAGTAATTTTTTATTTGGAAAAAGAAAAAGCAGGGGCACAGCATGAGAGGAGAGAGAAGTCTAACCACTTGCAATGCTTTTTAAATAGAAAAGTGGGATTAAAATATTCTACAAGTCTACAGATACTTAGAAATAAATACTTCTTTAACATTTTTATCACTAATCTTCTAGATGAGTATGTCCTAAATTCCATATTTATTCAGTCATAGCTAAGTGATTCAGTGCATGGTATGTATGCAGAAGTTCTGAGGTCAGTTCCTGATACCTCAAAGTAAGGGGTTGGGAAAGATCCCTATCTAAAACCATAGAGAACTGCTGCAATGTTATGTTGACAATGCTAAGTTCGACAGACCAGTGGTATATTTTGCTTCCTTTGTGCTAAAATCCAGTGAGATGTGTTGGATACTATATTTGATTTGGGCTATTTAGGACTAGACTTAAATCTTTCAACCTAGGAGCTGTTGTTTCTTTGTGAAGTATGGCTTGCTGCTAATGAAATTGAGAAAAGAATTCATTTATGCTTTATATTCTTTGGAAGAAAGCAAGATACAAATGTCTTTGATCTGTTCTCCATTTCTTCTATAGGCAAATAGTCCCAACCCTGATTTAATCCCTGAAAGTGATGCTGTGGGAGTTACAGTAATACTCATTACTTGCACCTACCTTTGTCAGGAGTTCATTCGCATTGGGTATTATGTGAATAATGAATATATAAATCCTGAATTAAAAGAGAACCCTCCTCTCAAGCCAGACTTTTCCCAGGTGAGACACTAATAAAAACACACTCATTGTATTTTTTTAGCTTAACACAACAACCCCTCCCCCAAATTACAGTACCCACTCCCTAGAAATTAGATGAAGGAAAATTGGCCAGTGTAATTTTCTGAACTACGAGGAGTCAGGTGGGAATGGTAATGATATAAAAGGGCCATTCTACAAATATTTTTATA